GCGCCGGCCGGTTGCCCCGGAGACCCCTTCGGCGCCGAGAGCTCCCTGGAAGCCCGGGGGCGCCGAGTGCGTGGTGTATGGAGGGCTGGGTGCAGCCTTGGTACGTGGTGGATCGCATCCTTCCGGCCTCAGGAACGTCGCTTTGATTTTTAAGGCCCAGCGAGCACGCTGCCTGGAAGGGAACTTAGTTTGCACTCAAGTTTGTAGACAAAAGGGCGTAAATATGATGCAGAAGTGTAACTGTAACCCCGACCCACTTGGGTCTCGGGATCTGTTGTGGTTTGCCGCCGCGGTTGCTGCTCAAGCGTTTGGAGTTTGCTCGTGTTAGAAGGGGGAGCAGGTGTCAAAAGGATCTAAACGGGCACCTTTAGATCCCACATCCCCAGTTCCACTTTAAGATAGAGAAAAACGTGCCGGAGGTTGTTTAGCCCTTTTTGAGGCAAGGCCTGCGTAGGGCAGCATGAATGTGGCATTCATACTGAGCTCATAGGCTCTGAGCATGCAGGAGTTTCTGCTGAGAAATGGTGTTACCCTAGCATGCCTGTCCCCTAGTCCAGAGATCTGGAATGTTCCTCGATAGTACTGGGGGAGGGGCGCTCTTTAGAGACTTGACAGTGTGTCTGAAGAGACCCTCCCAAAGTAATTAAGGCTAAGAAAATCCTGTCCTGTGTAAAAGAACAAAACCGCCCTGGTACTCATCAAATCATTGACCTAGTTTACTCTAGAGAGCTAATCACAATTTACTAGGCTTTATCATCTTTTTGACCAACACCCAAAGTTTTGAAAATTAATAATGCCTTTCAAAACTCTTTGTGAATCAGGTGGAATTTTTGTTCACAATTAAAAAAAATGACGGTTTAGTCTTAAGATCCCTATGTCGGCCTTATTTGTCAATATTTCATGCTTCTTAAGTCATTGTTTAGTATAAACAGCTTTTGAAGGTGAGCAATGTCATTGATGGTGTCACACTTGCCCTTAACATAAGTGAAAACATAACGTATGAGCCGTTTTAAGTAGCACACTTGTCTGTTTGTGTGCATGTGTGCAAACGAATATGCCCCAGCTTGCACTTGGCGGTCAGGGGACAATTTCTGGGAGTTGGTTCTTTCTGCCATGTGAGTTTTGGAAATCCAACTCTGAGGTAGTCTTCTTGTAAATACTAACTAGGATTTTTTTTTTTTAATAACACAACTTTGTGAAGCAACCAGAGATTTGTAATAATTTAGAAGCAGGTCCCAGGTTAGAACATCATAAACCCATGTTTAACAGATTCAAGAACGGTGCTCTTGATTTTCAAGTGGCATATTTTATTTTAGCCTTAAAAAATTTTGTGATGACTCAAAGGTGTCAGGATATTCACTCGGATGTTAAATTTGTAGGAACAAATACTTATTTTGATGCCCGGTATAAGTAATGCTTGATTTCTTCTTATACTTAATCTTTTCAAATAAAGTTTTAACAGTCGTTTAGCATCTGTTGTTTGGCTACCAGATGGATATTCAAAGTTAGAATAGTTGATGAAATAGAATCCCTCCTCCTGCCCTGAATTGTATTCAAATTGGTTCTGGCTGGTCTTGAGTGATTTGGTAGGTAGGGAGGAGAGGGAAGGGCTGTCTCTAGGAAGAGGTTACATCATGAGCAAGTTTGCAAGTGTGCACTTAGAAAGTGCAGGCCCTGTATGGAAACCAAAATGGGTGGAAAAGAGTAAAGGGAACTGGGTGCAAGGGAATGGCTAGGGGAGGAAGTTGGAAGGAGTGGGTAGAAGAGGCCAGGTTGCAGAAAGGTCTTAAAAGATCATACAAAGGCATTTGGAAATAAAGCACTAAGGTCAGCTTTGGTTTTGTTTTGTGGAGAGGATTAATTTGAGCATAGAGATGAGGGGATCAAATCTGATTTTGTTTTGTTTCTCAGTTTTAGAGAAAATAATCATGAAGATTAAGCAGTAATATCAGTTTTTGGTTTTTTTTTTTTTTTATTTTTTCGTTTTTTTCTAGACAGAGTTTCTCTGTGTAGCTTTGGAGCCTCTCCTGGCATTCACTCTGTAGGCCAGGCTGATCTCCAACTCACGGAGATCCGCCTGTCTGTACCTCCTGAGTGCTAGGATTAAAGGAGGGCGCTACCACCGCCCAGCCTGATTTCAGTTTTTATTGTGTACAGAACCCACTTTTCTTGTTATTATATCCCGGGAATTCCAAACATGGTGATAATAATAACAGAAAAGGAGTAGTAGATCAGAAGTCCGAATATAAAATACCATGGAAAAGCAAACCAATGACAAGAAAAACCACAGGAGGCAGAATGAGACCATGCCCTTCATAACCTTGGCATACTGTGAGCCTGTTGCAAGGAGCTAAAACTCTTGGAATTTGAGAGTGATAGCACTGTCCTTTGTTACTCGGCATCATCATCCACTTTGCACCTAATACACTAGTATACTTAAGAGACAAGATGGAGCCGCCGGGAAGCCTCAGGATGGGACTCGTGACCAGAGGATTTGACCCTTCAGTTTTTGTCTGGGAAGAGAGAGTCTGGTGTGATCAGCATGCACTGGAGGCAGCCCTTCCCAACAGACCTTGCTTGTGTGCACGTCCCTTGAGGCATGGCTGTTACTTTTTTTCTTTTGCTTTGTTGGAGACAGACGTCAGGTTATATTCCTGTGAAACGTCTTGTTTTTGCTTGAGTCGAATGCAGTTCAGGGTGACCTTGAACTTCTTGCCTCAGCCTCCCAACTGCTTGCCGATCCTCTTGCTTCCAGCTTCAGATGACGGGGCAGGTCACCACATCTCCCTGTAGTGTCCTATAGTAAACCAGTAAAGGTATTTACAGGGGTCAGGTAGTAGAAAGCGGGGTGACTTACTATCACTTAAAGGAAAGTTGTGACAGCATACTCCTTGTGGCCTCTCAGGTGGGGACAGTGTTGTGGGACTGAGCCCTGCCTGTGGGATTTGCCTCCTAACTTCAGGTAGCAATTGTGAGTATGTAATGTAGGTGCTGTCCACTGGAGGGTTGCATGGGAAGGGAGGAACCCTCACAGCTACTCCCTTAAATCTCCTGTGCAGCGCCAGTTCTTTTCTTTTACCTGGGACAGCAGATGGGGACTGGAGAGACGGCTGAGCAGCAGCTGAGAGCCCTGGCTGCTCTTCCACAGGATGGATGGGGCTTCATTGTCAGCACCGACAGGGTCCCTCACAATGGTCTGTAATTCAAGCTTCAGGGTTTCCAGTGCCCTCTTCTGGCCTCTAGGGGCACCAGGTTTGCATGTGATACATACATGTAATGCACAGACATACTTGTAGACAAAAAACAAAACCAAACCAAGCCCATTTGAATAGAATAATTAAAAAAAAAAAGGAAAGATCAAATGTTTGAAAGGCAATTTGGTTTTTCATAAGATGATAAAAAGTGAGATGGCGATCTAGGTGGTCCTGGAGCACAGCCTGTCTCGTTCCCTGATGTTGCAGTTGAATTATCAAGATCCGGGAAAGGGAGTCAGGAGCACTCTCCACCAATGCCTGAGAAAGATGGGTGAGAGGGGCAGCTTGTCTTTTGTTTACTGCTGGGTATTTAGTGCAACAAACAGTGCTGGGTACCTTACAGGCCTTCATTAAAGATTGTTGCATGAGGCCAGTTAGTTCTTCAAGTTCAGAGTTTGGTGCTTTATTAACAGACACTGGTCTGATCTTCCTGCCTCTACTCCCAAATGCTGAGATACAGGCACGTGCTGTCAGAATAGTTATGATGCTTCTCTGACTCCTTTTTATAAACATACTTGAAGATAGTGTGACATCATTGCATCTGTGAACTCTTTTCTGTTAACTTTGGAGCTACTTCCGGATTTTCACTCAGAGTAACACATGGATTTATAGAATTATTTGTATTCCCATACGAAGTATTAGTTGAATATTTTTAAATTTTAATTTTACCCCCCTTTGTGAGACACGATCTTCCTTCCTGTAGACCAGGCTGACCTTGAACTCACAGAGATCTTCCTGCCTCTGCCTCCCAAGTGCTGGGATTAACATTGAATGCCAACATGTCCAGCTTAACTTTGCTTTTTGCCATTTCTTCTAAAGCTGAGTCATTTAACTTAGGACTGCTGAGTGAATGATAGCCTGATAATGGTATAACTCCAAGATTGTTCCCAACTCATATGACTTGAAAGATTTAACAGCGTACCACTTCCCTTTCCCAGAACATGGCACTGGTGGCTTACTATTTTCATTGTCATGATGCAGAGAGGCTAGGCACAGCGGGAGCTGCAAAGCGGACACACCGGTGACTGGAGATACCTTCTGATTGTGCGCTTCCTACTTTTGAGACCACACGAAGAATTTAGAATGATGAGATGTGGGCAGCCCGAGGAACTGATCCTTGTGATAGGCACAGCACGTTTCCATTCACAGCTGTGGCTGCCTAGATGGTGGGTCCTCAAGAGAGCACTACTCTCTCTGGCCGTCATGGACTTGACTGAATACAGAATTTCTTCCCTTCTAAGCTGCTGACGAGCAGATTCAAGGACCTTAAAGTCTTAGCTCTGTATATACACAGACATCCCTCTGTCTGTAATAATAATAATAATAATAATAATAATAATAATAATAATAATAATTAACATGTATCTGTTATTACAATGTCTGGTTTTAATTATTTGCTGTACCTTTCTCACACACTTCCCAGGTTTCTGAGTTTATAGCTATACATCTTTTAGTGAACGTCATTCATTTTCCTTAGCTAACTTCCACTTTTAAGATAACTTTTCTTCAATCGGGAGGTAGAGGCAGGTGGATCTCTGTGATTTCGAGGCCAGCCTGGTCTACAGAGTGAGTGCCAGGACAGGCTCCAAAGCAACACAGAGAAACCTTGTCTCAAAACACCTCCCTCCCCCGCAAAAAACAAAAACAAAAACAAAACAAAACAAAAAACCAGATTTCTTTTTAAAGGATTTGTTTTTATCTGTTTCTTTTACTGTGAATGTGTGTGGGGGGGGCAGGCAGATGCTCACAGAGGTCAGAGGTGTCAGATGTCCCTGGAGCTGTAGTTACAGGTGGTTGTGAGGCTTCTGACATGGGTGCTGGGAACCAATTCAGATCCTCTGGGAGAGGACCTAACTGCTCTTTATGGAGCCATCCCTCTGTCTTAAAAACCCTCTGTAAACTGTTGGATGGGAAAGACACTGAAGTGGAACAGGCTTGGATGATGGACTTTTCTAAAAGTGAGGCCCGCTTATACCGTGGTATTGATAGAGTACTGTCAGCCTGGGAAAGGCTCTGTTTGCAGTGGGGTCAGCTAATGGGCTTGCCCAGAAGGTGCAGAACGACTGGGG